ACTCTCACACATGCACGAGAGGACAGCAGTGACATCAGCAAATGGCACGTGAAGAGTATCCGCTGGAGGAAGATGGCTACGCCAACAAGGGACTAGCTCAGGTAACTAGAACTCACCATTTCCTGCCCGGCCAGTTCTATGTCACTGTCGGGGGTCTTTGCAAATTCTGCAGAGTTCCCATGTGGTGATAGTGCTGCTCTAAGGTCTTGCTAAGTGATCAGATCACTTGTAATCAGTTTGACTATGACTAAAAGGAAAAATCAATGCTATTACTTTTATTAGAGTTACATCAAAAGGGTTTGTCACGCCAAGGGTGCATAATTCAATTTTGAACTATGGAATATAGGTATTTAATGTGATTTGTGTAGTGCATTCATTAATTGGCTACCTGGTAGAGGTGGTATTGTCAATTCCACCAGGAGAGGGGTTAAATTGAAATGTGATCGATGTCAGAAGGTTAAGACACGAATTGCACTTTTGAAGTTAAGTTAACCAGAGTGTCCGCAAGGTGTGAAAAGTTGCACATAAGTTGCCTCTCAGTCTGCTTTCAATGTACATAACTGACTTCTACCATATGCTTGTATCTCCTCTTAGATAGTGGGTTCTTTTGATATGTTAACGACATCTTCCAGTGTAATTTCGAAAAGAAAAAATAACCCAGAGATCAATAATCATGCTTCCTTTTGTGCATATTTAGAATGGGGAACATGCACCTTTCATAAAAAGTATAAATATGGCCAGTACAGCTTGCGCAATTTGGAAGGAATTATGAAGTCCATTGTATTAGGCCATGAGTAGTAAGTGTGAAAAATCTATGGAATGGAAACATTGCAACCAAGTCATGGATGCAAGTTTTATTTCTGTGACAAGCACAAAGGAAGAAATAAAATCAAAAGTTTCTATTGGAATTGTTGCTAGTCTGAAATTCAAGAGGGAGATCCCTTATTGTTCCTATGGGTACACCTTCCCCCTATCACACCGGGCCAGCATGGAAAACTGAGATGAATACAGGAGGTATCTTTAATTTATGGGGGAAATGTTTAGTGTGGAAGTGGCCAAGTTTCCTTCCCAGAGCAACCCTCCCCCTCAAGCAGAAGAAACGGTTATTTAAGTGATTAGAACTTCTGTTAATTTCTCCTTTTTTTTTTTTTCTGTTAATTGGTGTCAATTTTTGTCATCAGTTTTTTTATATGCAGTGTTGTTATTTTTGTTCATAATAAATATTAATTTATTAAGTTGTGCCTTTGTCTGGTAAAGACTCACCTTACCTGGTTACAGGTCACCTGAAGAGACTAATTTATTAGGGTTCTAAAATTGCAAAGATATTGCGCAAAATTGTATTTTGTGGGGTTTTAGCCTAATTTACTTGGGGGATCAAGGCACCCCATTTATAAACTGTCTTTGTGGTGGCAACGTTAAAACAGTTATATTTACATTATTATGGTGTTAAGGGGGATTTTTATCATTATTTCCGATCTAGTGCAGTCAAATAGTGAAGTATAACCCTTTCACCACCAGAACCAAGTCACTTACACACTTGGAATATGGTGCCAGGGTCCGTGTCTTGTCAATAAGTATATTCCAGACTCTACGATTTACTTATTGTCAAGCCATGGAACCTTTCACTGCGACTTTAATAGAAATTAAGAATCCAGATGTAACCATACACAATTATTAAACGAATATAAATTTCCACTAGAGCTGGATTCATCTCAGGGATACTTCATTAATTGGAAGGGTTATTCATAAGTGTAAAATGGTTTAGATGAGTGCATTGCATGACCTTTAATAATATTTTCACCCAGAGCGAATGACATTTTAGGAACACATTTTAAGGATTCAGAAAGTTGTGCACCCAGTGACTAAAGATTTCCGTAATACTAAGAAATAAAACATGTTTTCGTTTATTGAGGCATATGTAATGAGCAAATGATGCATGTAATAAATGCAGATATCAGTCGTAGTGAGCGGCAATGTTTTTTTAAACCGCACTGTGGTGATTACGGTGCTCAGTGTCCCTTTCAATTAAAATTACAGATAAGTTAGTATTCATTGCATTGTAATAAGGAGGTAAAATATCTATTCACCACATCTTAAAGGGACTCTCCAGTGCCAGGAAAACAATCCACACATGCGCATTAGAGCGCTCCATAGGAAAGCATTGAAAATGCTTTCCTAAGGGGAATTGAGCGATGCTGGAGGTCCTCACAAAAGCATGAAGACGTGCAGCGACGCTCTAGCACAGAAAACCTGTGCTATGAAGCAGGAAGTGGCCTCTAATGACTGCCTAATAGACAGCCACTAGATGAGGAATTAACCCTGCAAGGTAATTTTTGCAGTTTATGAAAACTGCAATAATTACAGTTGCAGGGTTAAGGGTAGTGGGAGTTGGCACCCAGACCACTCCAATGAGCAGAAGTGGTCTGGGTGCCTGGAGTGTTCCTTTAATTCAATTGTGATTGGGTTTATTTTTATTTTTTTACTGCATACATAAGGCACATGCAGAGACATTCAGAAATGCATTGAAACATTTATAAAGACCATTTTCGGATTTTATCCCACCAAGAATTCCTGCATTGCAGGGAAACGTAGCACGGAGAAAACAGGAGATATATTAAAAACAAAAAACAATATCCAACAACAAACCTCAAGAAATTAAAGCGGTTTGATACTTTCAACAAGTTAGTGTTGGAATTCAAACCATGACCAAAGATATGACAATGCACTGTAAAGATTAACGATCAGCAAGCCATAGACTGCTGTATTCTGGGTTATTGTGCAATCAATGCCTGGAGTGTCTTCAAAGGATAAAATTACCAAACTCTGTCATGGCTTGCAGTATATGACGCATGAAACGACAATCAATCCACTGGATTCAGGACTATTGATTATATCTATTTGGAAGTTTAAAAAAAAAATATTGACTTTAGTTTATCGTTCTAGGATCCCTGTAGTAGCATTGATTGAGAAAGTATGAACACGACAAAACCGTTTTTGTCTGAGATAACAGATTGGAGTGGAGGCTCAATAGTCTGTTGACAATGTACCGAATGCACACGTGAGCATTATCCTCTGTACTAAATGCAAACTAGGTTGAATTGCCAACATAAACATGACTTATCTATATTTCCTGTAAAATACACAGAGGAACGATATAGCGTAAAGTATACCTAATTAATGCTACACACAAGTTGTTTTACTTGAAAAGTTGAACTAATTCGATATAGAGCTGTTAGAAAATATACAGAATGAAAGAAAAAAATACAGTGAAGCCTTAGAACTCAAACTATATCCCTTCCAGTAGGCTGTTTGAGAACCGGTTTGTCTGAAAACCGTATCAAAATACTCCATAAGAATTAATTTAAATTAGGTGAATCCATTCCAGACCTCCAAAACTAAAGCATTTTAACACAAATTTTACTGTTTCCTAATACGTTACATGCATAAAATCACACAGAAAACCAATAAACACAATATTAATTAAATGAAAATGTAACTTCACTTTACCGGTCAGCTCGGTTCACTGACAGAATGGAGCTCTGTTCGCTTTGTCTAGTGCTAGGAGGCTGATGCGTCATACCAACGAGGTTCCAAAGCGGTACCAACAAGCTTAATGCGGTGTGATTTTGTTCTAACGAGTTTTGTTCGGGTACCGAGACTTTTTTCTCTCAAATATTTAGTTTGAATACTGAATTGTTCGAGTAAAGGAGCGTTCCAGGTTCCACTGTATATTTAAAAAATAAAAATAGGTGTGTCCCCACTTGCCAATTATTTGGCATACAGTCAGCATAGCCCTCTATGCGACATTGTAGAACATTTCATTTTGTGTAGCAGGGTCTATATTATAGTAGTGACCTTATGGATTCCTGAGTTCACTGGGAATTGTCCTTAAGTGCTGAATGCAAGATTGGCCTGCAGCAAAACTGAATCCTGTGAAATACCTATAGTTATGCTGTGGTGAAACAATTGCACGGGAGAATCTCGAATGTTTCTGGACTCATTATCTCCAAGCACCTTATCTCATCCTTTAAGAAATCGACATCCCTGTCCAAACTCCTACCGGCTCTGATGCCTCCAAACTCTTCCTTTAATCTCAGTGTACTAATTCACCGAACACCCACAATGCCAGTAACATTAGTGAGTTCATCTTCTCTATTTTGGACTGAATGCTCCTATACACATTTTTATCTCTCCAAACCCCAGATGATGCCCTACAACATTGCTCTGCCCTCTCACAAGATTTACACAGCAAATGCATTCTGCTCTAGCAGAACACTGTTCTTTTGACTCTTCTTGTCGGGACTTGTGAATACACAATTCTCAGGATATGCGCTCATACCACGGAATCTTGTGTACATTATTTTAACAATTGCACATTAAATTTGTTTACTGCAAAGTACTTTGTTTGCACACAAGACCACAAGCATCCCGCACATAAACACAAAACCAGCTGTCCCACTCATCAGCCCTTCCCTCGGGCTTTGCCGGGCAGACAGAGATACACATTCACAGGCAAACCTACATACACACACACACACGGACAGTCATTACTAACCGTTTGTATTTCATCCTTACCCTAATAAATCAATGTACCAGGCAGGTAAATGAATGCACACTTCCACTCCAAAAAACGCATGTTTCAGACATCAGTTCTTGGCAGTGTCTGATCACAACGTGAATCTTGCATAAAATCGACCCAACTGATCATATGTTACAGGTGAACTCTAAGGGGTTTTGCCTTCACATGGCAGGTGAGCCATCATTCAAGTGATACTAAAAAAACTCCAGTTATTTAAATGTTCATAAGGATTTGAGATAGAGCACCGGCAACTGTTTTTTTTATTTATTTTTTTTATTGTATGTATTGGGCTGGTGTGTACGATAGTCATTGCTGCCGCCCAAGAGTAGTGGGAGTTTGAGTGCAGGGCTTAATTGTGTTTTATCTAGAATGTACAGATACGGAGAATTTTATTTTTGCACCATAGAAACCAGCTATGGTAATACCAGAATAGAACAGAATAAAGCTCACCCGTTACCATAGAAGTGCTAGAAATAAATTGCCTGAGTGAAAATTCAATCATTTTATTAACCATTCTGAAAGCATGCAATATTTTACAGCACCTGTAAACAGTAAGTTGAATGCACTGATTTAAGGAGATCCAGTAGGATTTGGAATGTTCTGTATAAATCGTTTAGGTAAAGACAACATGACATACATTAGTGTGATACTTTTTATGGCTGGAAATAACCCATAGCAGCTTATAAAGGATTGCTTTGTTAAATCATCTCATTGCACTTAGTCAATTTTATTGCTACACGAAACAAGGCCATTCAATTTTGGTATTCTTTACATTTTAGTTCAAACCGATTGTCTTGTCTTTCACCATAAGATAACATGTGCACAGTTACCAGCTGAAAGACTTAGTCCGAGTACACCACTGAGTTTATATTAAATTAAAAAAAAACAAAAAACAAAATGAATAAACTGAATTATCCAGTAAAGCTCCTTTCATTTTCAAGATAGGTCACTAAAAGAGGTAAAAAAAAAAAAATCTGTGCAATTAATCTGCCAAGTAATCTTGGGGGAAAAAAACGTAAATTCCTAATTTAGATTCAAGCAGTCAAGAGCATCCATTCTGATACTGATAAAAAAAAATAAAAAATAATAGCATTATAGATTACATCATATAAAGGCGATCACTGAAGGCGATCATCAAAAGGGTCACTAACTTGCACTAATTTTGTAGCAAAACATATATATTCTATATCAAGGTGTCCTACTTTATTCAGGGGGGAAAAGGTAGTCCTTATGTCAGATTCTTGTGCAGTTTATGAAAAAACTAAATACATTGGGCCAAACAGCACAGAGATGGTCTGATTGCCAGTATCTCCGACGCAGGGCGGATTTAAAGGCAGGTTAATTAGACCCATGATAAAAGCCAATTATAGACCGGTTCAGCTGAGCAAGTACTTCTATACACCTTCATGAGGTCTACAGAATTACGCAGTGTTTAAGTGCAATGCTCAAGCAACACTAGATTTAACAAAGATCCCTTGTAGTTTGTCCTAGTGCAAGTGACTTAATGACACAGTCTCTTATTTAAAATGAAGAAAAAATAATGGGGGTGGGGGGATATATATAGTATGTGCATAGGTGATTTTTTGCTTTTTGCTTCCTACATACAGTACGAACAGTTTACAAGTTGATATAAATCTAAATATACATATTTCTTTTTCTTAATACTCTGACTGCAAACAGGCACCACTGTGTGTGATCCTAGGATAAAGGGATAAAAATGTACAAAATAATATCATTATATTCCCTTTCCCTGATCAGGGAAAGTAGCAAACTACCATTATTCTAAGGCTTTTTTTTTTTTTTATAATTTTCCCTCCCCTCCACGAATAAACTATGTTACAGATTATTTGTAAAGATATATCACCGTTTTCAGAGCATAAACATATTTAAAAATTACATAAGTACTTGATAAAAGTCTGATACAGAATTCCCTCTCTTTATACATAAATTCAGTAGTATTTTCACGCAAACCCAACATAGAAAAGGTTTGCAGATTCCAGCACAGTGAGAAGTAAGGCCGCGTTATCGTATTGGCAAAAAAAATAAAAAATAATATATATAAAATAAAGTTTATTTTCATGAGAAATGCCATGTTGTGCATTGTTCCATGCTTCCATCAACGTGGGAATACAGCATTAAGGTTTGTAAGAGACGCCAACCGTCTGACCAATCCAGGAACTTGAGTCATCATGTCAAATGGACGGCGTTTTTCAACTTCTCAATCTCGCTCTAAGTGGAGACAGTAAAGATTGTTTATTCCAAATACAATTAAATAAAGGTAAACAAGTTAAAACCTTTGTTTGGTGTACAGTGGGCATGGGTTTTGAGGGCAAAAAACAACAATGATCTGTTTTAAATCAATTGAGTGCAAGAGAAAGAAAACTGCCTTTGCTTTTTAAATGCGTTATTCACTCTGAAGCCAGGAACTGGTGTGCTTAAAAAGGACTCGTCATTTCACTGGGTTTTAAATATTAGAACCTAACCAGGAACTGAGCAGCGGAATGCTGGCTCCCTGTCAATCACTGTTCTAAGTTCTAAACACATCATCCGGCAACATGCATTGAGAGAAGAAGAGGGGAAAGAAATGGCCTGGGCTTTGCAGTCAGCTGCTAACGGGTACATGTCAAACAGAAACAAATTGCCACAAGATTAAAAGGTCAATGTGCATTATGGGCGATTTTCAATGATGTAAGAATACATAAAGAGTATTTCTCTCAGTGTTCCTGTAGTGAATGACTCTTTCACGCATTACGTTGGTGTTTGGAAGGAAGAGCTCTCCACACGTTATGTTAATTACATTTGGCTCACAGGAAACGCTCACCTCAAGACTGGTTCGCAGCAGTTTTTCATGTTCTAAGTCTTTCTTTATCTTCTCCAGCTCATTCCTACAGGGAAAGGAACGATAGAGAGGGATGTCAGTGATGACAAATGAAGTAAATTTTCAGCACGGATGTTCATTCTTGATCTGTCCTCTAGCTACATTAAATTATAAAACACTGAAAAGAGACAGCTTGAGCATTTCGCTCATTCATTTATGAGGGATTGGCGAGCACGTGCATATGGAAAGTCATAACTAATTTCCCATAACATAAAGGTAAAATAAATCAAATAAAATCAAATCCTTAAAATTTTGTTTTTATGTGGTATACAAGCATGCCCTGGGACCTCATACCATAAACACTTTCCCATCAAACAAGTGAGACAGAAGGAATCACCAACCCAGACCCTAAGGGTAGCTGGAAAACATGTTGTTAATAGATACGTAGAATGCATGTTACCTATGCTCTTTCCTAAGTGCATCCACGATGGTAAGGAGCTCGCCGACCTGTGCCTTCAGCTCTTCCAGCTCACTCTTCTTACCCTCATTCACATCACTTTTCACTTTAAATTCTGCGGGAACTGGAGTCAAGATGACAGGGCTCAGGGGGATAGGGATCAACGGATTGGGTAATTTGGCCAGAGAGGACGTGGGTGTGGTTACAGAGGGTGTAGAGGGATTAGGTATTTTGACCAGAGACGGCGTAGGTGTGGTTACAGGAGGTGTAGCGGAATTGGGTAATTTGACCAGAGACGGCGTAGGTGTGGTTACAGGAGGTGTAGCGGAATTGGGTAATTTGACCAGAGACGGCGTGGGTGTGGTTACAGGAGGTGTAGCGGAATTGGGTAATTTGACCAGAGACGGTGTTGTTACAGGAGGTGTAGAAGTGGATACAGGAGGGGTGGAGGTGGAAAGAGGTGTCTGGGAAAAAAAAAAATTGGAAAAATATTTTTAGAAGAATGTAAAAAAGCTGCAATAATTACATATTGTACTGTTCTGTTTATATTGAACCATAATCTTCTTGTATTACATTTTATAATCAAAACAAAAATCAGTACCTATAATGTTATACATATGACAGCTTAGAAAACTTCCAAATTGTATGTTATTGCATGCAAGGCATCTCAAACAGCAGCCTAGGAGAGGAAAGTATATCAGTTACATCTATAGGAGAGTACTTTCATATATATTGGGTCACACATTTAGCCATTAACATATTCCCCTCACATTGTAACCGATTTAAATACACATATTTTGTCACAACAAAGTGCACAATAAAGCAGAAAGTACTAATGTTTCCAAGTATACTTTAATTTAATTTCACAGGCATTCCAAGTATTTCTGAGTAATATTTAGTAATATCTAGACAATGAGCTCAGAACAGTATCTAATTTAAACTCAATGATTGTGGAAGTTTTATTAATTTCAAGCACACCATGTAAATAACAGATAACCATTAAAGGATCACTATAGTGTCAGGGTCCCACTCCCACAGGTTACCTTAATCCATGGCCGGGCTCCCTCGGCGCTGGTGACCTCTCCTCCCCCGCCCACATCAGCGGAGCCGAATGCACAAGCACAGCGAGTGCCACGTGAGCATTCAAAGTGTCCATAGGAAAGCATTTCTCAATGCTTCCCTATGGACGCTCTGTGCGATGGAGGCGAAATGTGCCTCCAGCGTCGCAGATGCACCTCTAGTGGCTGCCCGGAAGACAGCCACTAGAGGCTATATTAACCCCAAATGTAAACATAGCAGTTTCTGTGAAACTGCTATGTTTGCATCTGAAGGGTTAAAACCTGAGGGACCTGGTCTGGGTGACTATAGTGTCCCTTTAATAAGGCTGACAGGTGGCATCCTCTGCGTTACCATTTTATTATAGTGCTTACGATTGTTTCTATTTCCATGGAACAAAGATCACTAGATTGTCAATGTCTTTCTTCTAAATAAGGTGTGAAAGAGCATCATGTCAAGATAGGTAGCTCCAATGGCAATATGGAGACGATGGGCAGCAATGAAGGAATTACTTTAAAGGGACACTACAGCTGGTTCTGTGGCAAATAGAATGTCCCTGCAACTTAGCAGTGTAAAAGCAGCCTTTTCTAAATGTCTACACTGCTGCCTAATGCGGCTGAAAGCTAGACATTCACTCATACTAGCACCCCAATGTTTCCCTATGGGGAAGTATTGGATTGGCTGAGATCATCAGTATTAATCTCAGCTCAAGGAGCAGGGGTCACCTTGGTGAGTCTGGTGCGCCGGGGGAAGAATGGTAAGTAAAATGCTTTTACTACAGTGTTAGGAATACATGTTCCTTGAAATAATTGACATTAACACCGTGTTAAGCTATCACTGGGATATCATTTTGGTATCTTTCCAGTTCAAAACAGTGTTCCGAAAATACTTAAAATTAACAAATTCAACTTCAAAATATAATTTCTTTTTAAAATAAATAAGACTAAATTTGAATTTCTACTGCTTAACCAGTACAATATAAAATAAAGCCTATATATTATGCAGTTATTGAAAGCTCATAAAAGTGTTGGATGAAACTAACTAGACTAATCTATATATATATATAGAAGTACATATATAAGCAGTACTCCAGCCGTTGTATAAATAATCCAGCAGTTGCACAACAAGTATGCAGTACCTTTTTAACTTCAGGAGCCTTTACTTTGGCACTTTCACCCTCCTCATCCTTGGCTACCTTTAGGTTGTCAGTCAAGTCTGTAGAATGCTAGAACGTAAAACACAACACAATTATTCATCAATGAGTCTATAATCTGAATGGTACATCTGTGGCAGTCAATCTCAGAAGGTTTTCTACATATAACAAAACTAAAAAGTAGAAAAACAGTTTTTTGTTTTTTTTAATTGCTAGATAACAAGTGTTCTCATAAACCCTTAATTTTTCATAGATTTTTTCAATACAAATATGCAGACTATTTTCATCTAAACAAGGTACATACATTATGGTGTTAAATACCTACTGATTGCAGAAGATGCAAAGCTTTGCAATGTGCATTCTGTTCTGAAGGTTCTTTGACAATCTGCAAACTCACCTCAATGGGAATACTGGGCCTACACTACTAGGGAGGTTTGACAACTGGAGTAAAGCTATAAAACCTGTGAGCATTTAAATTATGCAGTTTGTTTTATTGGGGGTATATTTAACATAACAGCTTGAAAAAGCTGCAGTTTTCTTCTCTGCAGTCTTCTACATTCGTAAGATATGTACATCACCATGACCATTGAGTACCAAGAAAATATCTCATTTCAGAAAGAGCAAATATTTTGTCCAATGGGAAATGATGCCATATAAGATCAATCAACATTCCTTGCAAAAGTTAAAAGAGAAACGCAAACATAGCCCAGATGACCAGATCCAAACATCAAGCAAACACCTTGCTGTCCAGGTGTCTTATGGCATTTCAACCTCAATAAGGATATTTACTGTCTCATCACGAGAACTGTACTTACAGAATTAACCCCGTTGAATCGACCGGGCAATCTCTTTCCAGGCACCTTTGGTCTGCTTGCTGTTGGATGTGATAAATTCTCTGAGGTAGGCATGAGATCATCAAAACTTATTAGCTCTAAGAAAATATGAAACCATGAGATTTATTTAGTTTACTACTTATTCGGCAAATGAAATATTTTACACGTTATGTATCATTTAACGAATCAAACAAAAAATAAACAATAGTTATGAGGATTTCCATGCACCAACACTGCACAGGTCACAATTGTGAATAGACATACTGGACAGTTGCACCAGAAGAGGACCATATGTTTTAACAAAGTGTGAAATCTGCAAGATACAGATGTACTTTATGTATCCGCTATTAATACAATTATTTTACACTTCCATTTCCACGGTATAGATTCAAACTATGCCATCTTACCTTCTGTAATATTGGCCAAACCACCTATCAACACTCTTTGTCATTGTATGTATCTTCTGAGATATCCTGCTAATAAAGTGTCCAAGTTGACTGGGGACTTTGCTCTATTTTCCCTTTACTCTATCCTTTTCCGTGTCGTTGTGGTCCCCTCCATAAAAACAGCTGCCCTATTCTTTATTTTTCTTCATCCAACTAACACTTTGTGAATCTCTACATCACCCTTATTTGTATTCGTCAGGCAGACCAGGACTACAAAGATGATAGGGAGATTTCTTTCCCTCGATACAGATTATTTGAAGACCTATCATCCACAAACATGAGCAGGACAAGTTCTGTTTAGAGAAGTTCTAAAACGGAGCCTAGACACTTTGCTACACATCACATACTGCGGAATGCCATCAAAAATAAGGATGCAGCAAAAAGGATTAACAAGTACAAGTTGTGGTTATAGCTATAAGGTCTATGGCCAACAGCAACGACAAAGTCAAACATAGTAAAAAAAATACAATCTATAAATCGATTTGGACAATACAATGTACATAGGTTACATTTTCTTTTCTGGAAATGGATATTGTGTCACGTGACTACGGAAGATAACTGCATTTTAATTGCTGCAAGAAAGACAAACGATCAAGAGTGGACAAGAAAAAAAATAAAATAAAAGGTTACACTTTCGAAAATAACTTAATATAGCAGAGCCAACTACTTGGTTCATTTGAGAGAGTCAAAATAATTTCATATACATGATTTTCTTGTTAATTGACATATATATATATATATATATATATATATATCAACTTAGTGTTGACTGGTACGTCTACACTATAAAGCAAACAAGGCTATTATGATCTATTTAGGACCAAGGTTAAAACAAACAATTTGTATTACAAACCTTACATTGTGAGAGTCATCTGTTAACTGACCAACAATCTAAGACTGGAAAGTCCATCTGTGAGCCTTAATTTGTTGTTGGAGTACCATGTAATGATGTTATAGTCTATAGTCTAACAGCAGCTGGACATCCAAGCCTGAAAGGTAACGTGCCCCGAGTGGATGAAGACCATCTCATAACCAGTTAAAATGTAACTATAGAACTGGGGCAGGATCTCATCGCAAGACCCAAAACTGTGTTTATTGGATTTGAATGGTGGAGGAAAGTGTGTTGTGAAAGGGGTAAAATTAAAAATCACTTTGCATGTAGTAGAAATACAAACGGCCCTGTTTTGAACCAATTAACACAGTAAATCAATTCACAAATACTTCTATACTTCTGAATCCTGAATAACACAGAAGGGCAATAAGGAGATCTTCAGCGGTGGTATAACTAAACTAATGAGTATCAGGCAGTAAGGGGAGCATGAGGGTAGCTGCTGCTCTACAACAGTAGGGGATGGGTATTCCCAGCTAACGACAATCGTTTGGAACAAATAACAAAATGACCTTGCAATTTAAGACAGGGAAGACTAGGTGAATCAATGTTCTCTGTGTTAATACATTCAGTACTTATCGATTTCTCCACTACCATGCGTCTGATATTCCATGTGATACCCCTAAAGAATGCAGTGGGGTATTGTGAAAATATCCAATGGTGAAGAGTTCTCACTGATAACAAGTTTCCTTGCAGTTCAGCAATTCAGGCACTGCTCCATTATTCTAACAAAGTTTGGAGGGATTTTAGTGAGATATGACTTGGTAAACCCTTCAAATTAGTTTTATATGACTTGGAAACTCCACACATTTCACCCTGCAGCATGCCACATGTTATATCCATTGTTTATTAATTAACGCTATTCTTGTTATTAAATGTTATGAGAGCTGTAATTTTACATGCTATAAACTGACCTGGAGCCAAATTCGGCAATGCTGATCTTTTGTAGGCTTCTCGTCTTAGAAGTAAGTTTGTGCCCCGAGGATTAGCCTTACTTTTACACATTATAAAACAAGTTTGCAATTTACAATGGAAAATACAGATCAATGCAAGGTTGCAGCCTTTTTTTTTTCGAAATACAAAGGACCAACTTTGTACGTAGACAACTAGTGAAATTAGATATCGATCTGTCCTCTGAGCTCTGGATTACAACATTCTATTTTATATTGCGAATAAGATTCACATTGAAACATTGTGTTCTACATTTGACTATTCCAGCAATCTCCAACTGGTATTCAATCTGAACCGCACTAGCGCATTCGTATGCTACAGAGTTCTGCCTTTAATGTGTCAATGTACCCACAGTCTGTTTCTACATCAGTACTGAGGTTACAGGTAGTATATATTCTACAGATGCTAGAAATGATAAAATGTTTTAAAAGGTGCAATCCAAACACCAAGACCTGGCAATTTATAGATATTTGTACTTTTTTCCTCTCTCCATGCAATAGTACAGGTATTGAGATATTGCTGTAGTCCATGAGAATTGTACGGACTCATAACTTTTTATGGAAAAACTCTCATACAGCAAACCTTTTGGGTTGCAATTATGTTGTATGTAAATGAAAGAAGACGTGCTATAGCTTCAATTGCCTTTGAGAAATTACTTTTCTCTATTAAGAATGATGAGAATTCTGCTTGCCATATAGCTTTCAATATGAAGTTGACTTCTAAAACAAATAGAAATGACTTATGCATATACATTTACGAGGAAACGCATAATGCTTTATATCAGGATTAGCCCTTTCCTGGTGTTGTGAGGGCTGAGCTGCAAATCCTTTGTATAACAAACACACACAGAAACTTGTCTTACTTGCTTTTGTAATAGTAACGTGCCAAGTGTTCTCTGCACAGTGACATGTTTCCTGTTAATGTCCCTGGCCTTTTAACAAAGCACTGCACCCCTAGAAGAACTATCCAACACAAACTTGATTTGGTTATGAAAATGAATTCTAGAAAGTACCATTACAGATATATATATATATTAGGAGAGTGTAGAAATCACAGTTTTATGACAGGGAACAAGTACCTCCCTAACTATATTTTTTTCCCATTCATCAGAGCATCATTTGATACAGAATTTTCTTATTTTATTCACACGAGTCTCTAATCTACTATATTGGAGCCTAGAGGTTCTTGAGCAACCTAAACCACACTATTCACTATATTTCACATTTGATTTAACCGTTCACAACATTTTAATTTATTTTATTTTTTTTACGTGCTTGCTTCTCGGGGAATCAAAAAAACAACTAAATTGAGCCGGAAAAATGTAAGTGCATATAGAAAGCTAGCTTTCACAGTAAAAACGGGAGATAGTCGATGAAATGAGGCTCTGTACCATGCTTGTACAGAACAGTATTCTCCCTTAACTTACAATGTAGCAACCAATTTAACACAATGCATCTGACCTTTTCACACAGATTGTAAATCTATTTTCCATGAATGGCCAGTTTCTCAATGTGAATACGTATATCATTTACTCAGCAGATCTGACAGTTCAACATTAAAAATGACTCTCTAGGGGTTTAAGTGACCCAGTTATTTAAATCACTGTAAAGATAAGGCAGTCAAAAATATTAAAATGTTCCTACTGTTTCTGTTAATATACTACTCATTTCTGTATATGGAAGAGTTTCTAATTCTATAAATCCCTGTCCAGCAGGAGTTTGTAGGATAATTAATGTGTCCTAGCCAAAGCTGCTAGGTCATCTCTTGGTGACCGACCAAATTCCATGACTTATTTAACAGTCAAGGTTTTACTCTTTTACAAATAAATCAGAAAGACTATATCAGTCAGATAACAGGTAAGTTGTCACTGGTTATGAATGAATGAATGAACACATTAATAACATGGTATAAATGCACTAAAGGCTTTGAGAGAAATGATAGAAACCATACACACATTCTAGATCACCAAAAGACTACCAAACATTAGTTAAAGGACCACTATAGTGCTAGAAAAACACTCGTTTTCCTGGCACTATAGTGCCCTGAGGGTGCCCCCACCCGGCTCTGGAAAGGGGAAATGGAGTAAAACTTACCTTTTTCCAGCGCTGGGCGGGGAGCTCTCCTCCTCCGATCCTCCCCGTCGGCTGAACGCGCACGCGCGGCAAGAGCTGCGCACGCATTCAGCCGGTCACATAGGAAAGCATTCATAATGCTTTCCTATGGACACTTGCGTGCTCTCACAGTGAAAATCACAGTGAGAAGCACGCAAGCGCCTCTAGCGGCTGTCAATGAGACAGCCACTAGAGGATTGGGGGAAGGCTTAATCCATTCATAAACATAGCAGTTTCTCTGAAACTGCTATGTTTATGAAACAATGGGTTAACCATAGCTGGACGTGGCTCCCAGACCACTTCATTAAGCTGAAGTGGTCTGGGTGCCTAGAGTGGTCCTTTAAGTCTGATAGGACTTTGCAAACTCCTTGAACCTCTTTTAGTGTAGTTTCTCTGCCAGGTTGCTTGAAAACCATACAGTCTCAAAAATATTTCTGACACAATGCAGTAACCAGAGGATCTAAAAAGAAAGTGATGATTATAATAGTCAATGCTCATAACCAAGATTTACATGTGGGAACGTCAAAATAAACTTTACACATGGACTGCATGCAAGGGATCTACAGAGTGACAGGCACAGCATTGTTACATGCACATATGTCCACAATCAGAGGGACAATCACACAGAGAATGTAGAAAGTATGCTTTCTGAATTATAACATTTAGAGATCAATAACATTCTAGACCATCATCGCATCATGAAACTTGCAAATACTATTTTAGATTTGTGGCAGGTAACAGAATATGACCATAGTAGAGTTTGGTATGGCTGCAAATGTAAAACGAAAAAGAGTCATCGACGTGTGTGAATAACAAGGTGCTCAGCTATTTTGGCAAAAATGGCAACATTTCCAATTTCAGATCTCATGAGCTGCCTTTTTAATGAATAATACAATCTGAAGTTTTGATGACGGTATACAATGTAATTGTTCGGAAACACTGCCTTGTCTTTCAAAGGGCATACTGATTACAAGGTTAAATCTTTAAGCATCAAGCAAGGAAAGAACGCAACATATTCGTCCACAATCCACTTCAAACCATGGGTATGTTTTTCCTATCCTCCAGGACCTTTTTGGGGGCAGGATAAAAAGTATAAAGAAAGTACTGCTAAATATTTACAACGACACACATACATGCATACACACAACACACACACACGTTTTGAGTGCCATGGGTGGTGAGTAAAGCATCACTTTGGAAAGCGACCCTTGCAACCCCTGTAGCATTCAAAGGTTCAAGCACAGAAAGAGGATTATGGCGAGAGAATGTGAGCTTACCAAAATGGAGAAGGGTAGGGGAAGTTCCTGACACGAAAGAAGGGAAACATGGCAAACAGGATAGGAAACAAAATCTGGAAAGAAAAGTGAAGGAGAGGAATGTCTAGAACAAAGATTTTAAGAAACAAAAATTATTTTTGCAAAGCAGGGAAAGAAAACATTTGTAAAAGGAACTGAATGGCCTGGCGTGCAGTGAATGTGATAGTTAAAGTATGGTCCTCCCGCTAGAAGGTGTCATTAAGCACTCGTTACAAAAGCCAGCTATCGATTGTCTAAAAGGATGGGGGAGATGTATAAAGATGCTAACCCTAAACCGATTTTTGGCTGCAACAGGACAATTGTATTAATATGTCTGAACAGATGCTGCAAATTAATAAAACTATAGCATGCATGCCAAATTCAACTATTAAAAAGTTCTCTAAAGATCAAAAAAAGATTTTACACATTGGACACGCTTTTGTTTCCATTTCTACTCTAGCATGAAGAATCACTTGATAGAATATGTAGAAAATCATAGTTTTATAGTAACATCAAACTATACATATCCCCCATGATGCTGAAAAGAAAAAAATATTAGAGCACGGAATTTCTGAGGGAACAAAGATTTCATAGAAACACGTCAACCACATTGCTTATTTGAATGTATTTAAATTTATTACATGAAACACTATTTCACAAACATGAGCAGACAATTTAATTCAAAACTATTAGTAGGTCAACAGAGGTCGTATTACAAAATGTGCTGCATATTATTTACAACACAGCAATTAATTACGGCAAAGACGACATTAAACCTAGCACAATATTTGTAAGAATATAAAGAGTTTTGTAGGTTCTACATTCTAGTAAGCTGTTTCTCTGCAAATCACAGCTGCAGAGTCACTGGATAAGAAATATCATTCTTTGTGTGTTACTCCATTGAGTTACCAAAGCACCACATTAATTCCTGGAACGGTGTCTTATAAAGGTCACATGAACAAATCCTGTAATGCTGTGAGGCAAAACAAATCGCCGCCTTTGTAAAAGACAAACTATGCCTATTGCATGTAAAGGTGATAATTTTACGCTTTAAGTTTCAAGATAGCACAGTTTCTTTCTTTATGCCTTTGGAGACAGATCTTGAAAACTGTGAATTTAGTTAGCCAATAAGTATCACCTTTGTGCCACTTGTCCTTCTAAAACTTACATGGCGCACAAATTTGTGGGCAACCAATCAAATTTACGAGGATATGCAAACATTTTGTGTATCACGTGGAGGGACAGGAGCAAAGTATAAAGTTATGCATATTTCTGTGAAAACGAAGAGGCCCCACCTTATCATAAAGTGGTTCTCCAAGGAAGACTCCCGCATTTTTTGAAGGCTATCAGTGCTGTTTGCAGCTCAACCTACATAGGGAGCTCTCTTCATCCTGTCCTGTTAAAAACTGCTGCAGGTATAAACCCAACCTCTACTGTGTGATTTCACCTGGGGGAAAACGCCACAAGCAGTCTCACGTCCCTACTTTGTCTCCGTATATCTAATGGCTGTATTGGAATTTCAGTAATTTCCCCAATACAGTCAATGTGAGTACTTAATAAAAAAAATATATATATATATTGAAGAAATATGCATTTTTTTGCATTATCTCTATAAAACGGAAAGGCAGCCAGAAGTCTCATCCTCCTGTAATACATATATAGACATGGCTTTGCCCTATAGAAAGCACTACAGGGAGTAGAGTAGTTAAAGCTAACTGCACTTCCTTCCCTGGTAGGAGTTCTCTGTGTGTTCCATGACAGGTGGCAAAAAGGCAGATTTATCACACAATTAGCAATATTCATTACAAGTTAGCTTTAAATCAGGCTGATATGGCCCAAGCATATCCCTATCGCACCAATGAATAGTGAAGACTTAACAAAAAGGCTTTGATTGCATATACGTCTTTCATAAAACAAGCAGCGTTGAGATGAAAATGTAGAAAAAAAACAAGATTTCCACCAGAGGGCACTACATCACAAAAATGCATTAAGTGTTCCTCAAAAAAGACACAAACAGCTGGCATGGACAGCAAAACTATGAAGTCAATTATGTGTTCTACAAACTGAAATTCACGGAGAATGGAGATATATGGATAAATAAAATGACTGCCCTAACATGGTAAAAATCAAAACATATTCTGGTTGGGACCGTTTTTAGTTCTCACCTTATGCATGCACTGCGTGTTTAGCAACCCTTTTTCTTAGATTTCTTTCTTCTGGGGGTTTATTGGAGGCAAGGACATGGAATATATAGATATGAGGTACTAGCATAGAACACCCACGAAGGTGTTTGCGTAGGAGACTTAGGGACTTGCGGTAGGGCACTTCTATTTTTTGTTGATAACAATTGGCTCTACATCTGTCCCTTTATCTCATTTTCACCTATCCTATATCTATGAGGCATTTGATATTGGTTGTTCTAAGGGGAAAAGAACACTGCTTAATGCTGCTTCAATAGATATGAGTGATCGCTCTACTCACCCTGTTTGAAGCATTTACCATTACCCCTGGTCTAGGTTATAGCCTTGTTGCCATACTCTTTTCCTGTTTCTTGCTTCCAATGTTATGTCTAGTAATCAGAGCACTATTTAGTGAACTTTCCCTGCACTCATCCTGTTTATTTGGACTCAACAGCCATCATTGGGATTAATTATAGCTCCAAAGAGCTTGGCTGCAGTTTGATGCCATTAAACAAGGATTGGGAAATGTGGTTGTAAGACACATAACAATTTTACATTTGCTTCCCAGCTTGAGTCTAATTTGTATCTTTATTTTTCCTGTCGTACCCAATAAAGTATTTTCCTACTAGATACTATTGGCACTTATAGATGTGGAAATTTGTAGTATTGCCCCATTAGATCGATCTCTAAGTTAGTTATAAACAGGTGTCATTTTTTAATTTTACCAGTCCCCCTTTGATTGGGGTGTATTCATTTTTTGTTTAGACGTATTTTCAATATTCATGTAACGTGTACTCCAGGGTGAAAATGGATTTCCATTGCTCTAGGAAGAATGGGACTGCTAGGTTTGCGAGTAAGACACTGAGCATCACAAAATTATATATCTATGCTTTGATGCTCAGCAAAAGTAGCGTTAGCTACCACTCAGCAAATAAATAAATTGGGAGGGGGAGAACCAAATCTAGGCACGCATTATTACTACTTACTATAAAAGTCAAACTAAATAAAGAGATATATGACCATTTGAAAACTTTTCATGGAACAGACAACAAGCATTCAAATGTCATTTGCTTACCATTATCCCTGGGGCTTTTAACAGCACATGGCTCAGCCTCTATAGATTTTGGTCGACTTAGAATATGTTCCAGATCCATTTTTGTTTTACTAAATGGCTCAGGTTCTGACTTGGGCCGACTTGGAGGCAAGTCTCCATTTGGTCTGTAACAGAGGTGTTAAAAAGAGAAAAGATCATCACTTTCTAAAGACATATCGGACAGGATAAAGAATAAACAGCATCAACGATGCTAATAAAATTATGAACTTGCATTAACGGCCAAATTCAAAACATCTACACAGTGAAAACCATGAAATCGGAGATTCTTTGATAACATCATAATCAAAGACATTTTTGGATTGCATCTGCTCATGAATCTAGAAAACTAAACCTGAATGCAGCAAACCCATGACTGTAGTATTTATTTTATTTTTTATTTTACAGGCTGGATTCACAAAATAAATGCAGGAGGTCAATCAAGGGGCTGTGAACATGCTCATTATTTATATGGAAAAGTGAGAGAAAAATAAATAAAAATAATAAACAAAAATCACAATTTGCAACTTTCTTTTAAAATACACAAACCATTAATTAAAACAATCAGCAGAACCACTAGTTCTTCAGTTTACCACCTCCTCCTCCATAGAATCTCTCACAGAGGTAAAGGCCCAAGCGCATTGATAGAATGAGCTGCCTGGCATTTTAGTTCTAGGATGCCCTGGGGGCACAAACAGCCCTGATAGGGAAATCGTATATGTCCCTTTGTAATGGCACAAGAGAGTTAACACTTGTCTGAGGCTTTTGTGAACACTAACAACATAATTTTCTTTGACATCTGCTTTGGTCGCCCTAGAAAGGAGAACTGATAAGAGATTTCTGTATCTCTCGTGCCATTTTTGTTCTGAACAGGTTTTTCTACAAAGTCAAGTGGAAACACACTAGACCAGCTGTTACAGCTTTTGTTCTCTTACATTCCGTTATGGCAAACAATTGGAAAAGGCAGCCCATTCCTACAGTCAATACTTTTCATAAACGAATGACACAAATATGCTGGTTTAAAGAGGGACTCTCACTTCTCTTGAATTATCACCTTGATCCCTAATAAACATTTCTTTATGAGATGCTATATTTTATTAACAATTTACAATAAAGATTTAGCATCATAAACCAGTTCAGGCAAGGCAAAGCCAGGGCAAACATTGCAGATGAAAAAGAAGCCCTGAAACATTGTATGAATTCTCTTCTCTCTATACTTTCCTAATGCTGACGCAAAGTCCGGACAGAGCTTATAACAATGGCTGACGGGGACCCCAGTTGCAATATAAGGATGGGTGGAATGCTACATTTAAAATTCTTCGCAAGTAAATATTTCTTAAAGGAACGCTACAGGGTCAGGAACACAAACATGTATTCCTGACCCTATAGTTTTTAACCCACCATTTTGGTGGCATCCCCTCTCACCCCCTTTAAAAGGGTTTAAAACTTACCTTATTTCTCGCGCCGTGCGAGTCTGCAGATGCCGGCCCCGCCAACCCAATCCTTTCCCATAGAGAAAAGGCCATTTTAGCCAATCTCAAAGAGATGCATTCAATCAATGCATCTCTAAGAGGAAAATTCAGCGTCTCCATGCAGAGCTGCTTACTATGCAGCACTGCCTCAGGAAGCACCTCAAGTGGCCATCTGAGTGGCGGCCACACGAAGGTGTCACTAAGGGACAATGTAGACACTGCCTTTTCTCTACTGCAGGCAATGATTATACTCACCAGAACAACTACATTAAGCTGTAGCTGTTCTGGTGACTATAGTGTCCCTTTAAACATAGGGATAGTAAACACAATATTAAAAATCCGGGAAGGGACCATTCCCCTTTCATATATTTTATTGTTAATTTAAGTATTTTCCTACTTTGTAGCACATTAAAGTATTTTTCATATAGAAGTTTGAATTGTCTCACTTGGATACAGGCGTGGGTAAGGCGGGTTTCTCCGGACGCTTGGGTGGTATGGTCCCTGGCTTCACCAAGCTATTGGACTTGCTAACCAGAATGGGTTTCTTGGGTGGTACCTGAGGAGCAGCTGGTTTGGAAGGCTTTATATCCAAAGATGGCTTTTCATCTACAGAAGAGGCTTAGGGAGAAGAAAAAGACACAAACCAAAGACAAACAAACAAAACACAATTTAATTGATTATGAATGATACAAACCCTACTTGCTGCTATCATTCTAATTAAGCTATATTGGACATGGGATAACTAGTTACAGGCAATCAGTTATGCAGACTGTGCACCATTTATATTGACCACATTGGGTTTGTAAGAAACCATGAAAATAAGTTTATACCTGGACGCAGAGCAGGCCAAGTTATTACAAGTTTCACAAATGATCTGAAAATTGGAAATACATTCTTGGAAAGTAATTATATATCTATAGGAGTGGGTCTGTGCAGATATTTGTAGGAAATGTCTTTATACAGATAAGTAATGCATCAATGGTGGAGAAAGTCTCTTGAATACTTGACATAAGCAGGGCTACTCTGCAATGACATAGTAAAAAGATCTTGCCATTAAAATGCACTTTTGCCAAAACAAGTTTTCTAAATATGTTGTTGGATTAAGTAAATCTTGCTGCAGTGGAAAAGGGGTAGAAAACATGTTTCATAATATGATGTGTAGACAAGAACCACATGACTTCACAATCAGTCCTTCTTGGTGTTTCTAAGGTCTTCTCTACATAATATATTAATAAATATATACACACACACACTTTGAGGGGGGGATAGGGGGACACTAAAAGACAATAACATTCCAATTTGGAATTTAAATTTATGCAGACATCAATGTGAAGATTGTTGCCTGGTGGGGATAAGTAAGGAGCATGTTATGATTACATATCTGGCCAGTGTATAATGCTTGCACTGCAATAATCACCTCTCTCTTCTAGTTTTGATGGAGTGAACCTTTTCTCGCCAATGCGAAGTTCAGGCTTTGGTGTTGCTGGGAAACAAACAGCTGAATTAATGGTTTGTAAATTACATTTCCATCATGGCTTTAGTAAATACTAAAGGAAACACATTTTTCAGGACACAGTTTATATGAATATATGAACTTGTACGTTGAACTTGGGTTTGATAATCAACCAAACATAGCAGGGAATGATGTGTGATGCAGATACAGTTCTACACATAGTACAGGTGCCAAATTTTCAGATCACAGACATTCAAATAATTGTTTCATATTCAAAATACAATCACATGGCTTAATTATTTTACATTTTCATTTGCTAACAAAAAGGATATTACAACCAAAACAACTTTAGCTCTATATACCATGGTGTATATACCATGCCCCTGCAGTCTCTCATTGCTCAATTCTCTGCCATTTAGGAGTTAAATCACTTTTCTTTATGTATATGCAGAACTACTCACACAGCCTCCATTAAAAAAAATAAAAAATTTTAAAAATGGCTCTATTACTTGAACTTTAATCACACATGGGTGGCTCATGCAGGCTATTAACAGAGCAGGAGATAAATCCTAAATTAAACAGAATGTGCAATAAACAAAGTTTGAACATGAGATCTCAATTTACAGGAAGTGTTTAAAAAGGAGAGGTGTGACTAGGGTTGTTTAAACAAAGTGACTTACCTGCTAATCAATAGAAAATGGAGCATTGAGACTACATGGGCACTATCTATCCAACTACTTTATTAAAGTAAAGTTGTTGTAGTTACTGTAGTGTCCCTTTAAGGCCCTTTACTAACCAGTGGATGCTATTTACTGAAAAAAATACAGCAATTATAATGCCAAAAACACAAAAAAACTACTTAGAATAAACTAATGGTGATTGATGCTTTATTCTCCATTAGTTATTTAAAAGGATTGTTTCACACTAAACCACTAAACTGGACTTGTTACAAACTATATTATTTAGTGATCTCCTCGACATTGTTACCTCTCCTGCATCCCACCCCTGTCTGAAGAAAGTAACGGAGTAAAATACTATCACAGTGTGAATTGATATTACATGGTCCTCTAAGTAGCTTAGAAGCCAACACTGCTGAGCTAGAGTGCATATGGGAAGTACTTGTAGAAGACTAGTTTGCCCACAATTCACAGGTTTAGCTTGCTGAATCCGCAGGGACTTGCAGATATAAAAATTAAGCTCCATCATACACAGTTTTGCAAGATTTTCTCCAGTATCGTCATACCTGGGCTTTTTACAGGAGGTGGAGGCTTCTTTGGTTTCTGGAAGAGAGAAAAAAAAAGCAGCTTATAAAAACTACAGCAACAATCAAATCGTCACCAGCAAGACTATGTCATTCAACACTACATAGATTTTTTTTTTTAGGGTCTCGGAATGTTGTAAAGCCAGTACAATAAGCATACCATCCATAACCTACCAAATCCCCGTGACTTTTTCGGTGAACTCGGCTGACAAAGCCAAAACCAGGGACACGTGAGATATTCACATATACTAATGTCATGTTCATAGTTCTTGTTTCAGTTCAAACGAGGTTAACTGCTTTGATTAGCATATAATATGTTTAGATAGCTAAATAACAACACATACACTACGATAGATGCTGGCAGGGGGTCCCCCCTCACATATGATACTCAAGGAGAACTCCGGGAAACGGAGAGGGCCCGTATCATATGCGCACAAGTAGAAAGAGGGGACCCCAGAGGGCTAGGGGTAATCATGATGTCTATTGTCAACTGTAATAACTGATGTTGTGCATATATGATGACTGTAACCTAAGGATGCAAAGAACGTCAGATCACTATGCGGAGCGACAGTTCCTATGTATGAGACGTTATCTGTAAACCACATCACACAAGCACATACTGCATGATCTAGCAGGCCGAGTGTACTGCAATCATCCCCCCCAATATACTATGGGATTTAAGGGAAGTGCACCCACAGCCTATGCCATAAGCACTGCAAAAAGGCATTATGTAGAACTGATCACCATAGCAGGCACGACAAACCACGCTAAATAGAAGAAGCTGAAAATAAAATATTGTATCAACAAGATAGCCACTTAGGCAAAGCTCAAGTTATACTCAGCACCTGACAAACATGGATTAAAATTCTGTACAGGCATACCCTAAACCACCCATACACGCTAGCCAGCAAACTAGCAACATGCACACTAATCACATGCCCACTGGATCACAGCTCTGAGGAAAGATAAAAATGTGTAATTATGAGAGCCCAATGGCCACACTGCTAGACACGCTGTCTAGGCGTCCATCCCCCATGGCACAATGCCAAAGTGCCAAGACCCACGTTTGGGTCAGTTTGTATATACTTTGTTTGTTACCCCTTCCTTCCCCCACCTCTCCTGAACCCCTTACTCCCGGGCACAAATATGCAGTCGCGCAGATGCCGGCTACGAGGCACATAACACAGCCACTGCACACACAACATAACATAGACTCCGCGAAACCACAAACGAGCACCGCTTACCACACACCTATTACATGAAAATATACTCACACAACTGCAGGGGGCTGAACATCCCCCATAAAAGGCGTATGGCACTAGAGGAAGTCAAACAAAATCGAGCGGACATTATATGTCTACAGGAATCTAATTTTGTTACCTCCAGAGTGCCCAACTTTGGCGCACAGCACTACCCCCACCAATACCACGCAACACATTCATCTAAATCAAGAGGAGCCTCCATCCTTCTACACTCATCCCTAACAGTGGAAACTTTACAAGATTTGTGATGTTGCAATGCCTCTTAAACAACTCACCATACACTATAGTCAGCTTTTATGCTCCTAATGTACATCAGCAAAACTTTTTACACAAGATGCTCTCCACAATCCCAACCCACCAAACTGCCTCACTCATACTATGCGGAGATCTCAACCACCCCCTCGACCCACACATGGACACCACACTAAAAACCACAACACCAAGACACAAAACGATTAAAACACAAAGCAAGGCAATCAACAAGTTGCTCGGAGAATATGGCCTGTATGACTCTTGGAGAGCATTCCACCCAAGTGAGAAAATTTTCTCTTTCTAGTCGGCAGTACACAAATCGTATTCAAGGATAGATTTCATCCTACTTACGGGCCCTCTACTTTCCAAAGTAGCACACAGCGAGATCGGGGACATAACATGGTCAGACCATGCCCCGACCATGGCAGAGCTGACTGAGGATTTCCAACACAGAGGGAGACCGCCATGGCGGCTGAATGACTCACTTTTAGGTGATCACACATTCTCCAAAACACTATCAGAAGCACTGCAATCATACTTCCATGACAATAATACCCCAGACGTACAGCCGACCACCGTGTGGCAAGCACATAAGGCGGTCATTAGAGGAGTTCTCATCAGCCGAGCCTCCTACCTAATAAAGAAAGCACAAAAAGAACACCTACACCTGCTGCGCACCCTGAGGGATACGACGGCAGCAAATATAGCAAACCCCTCACCACAACTAGCCCAGGTAATAAAAGATACCACAACAAGCATCAACAGCATGGCAATCTCCAAAACTGCACACATTTTACAAAAACTGAAACAGAAAACATACTCACAAGGCAACAAAGCAGGGAAGCACCTATCAACACTGCTACGCCAAAAACAATCCAGTGCAAAAATCCCATACCTACTCACACCCAAAGGCTCTAAAATCCATAACCCACAGGACATTAATGACACCATGGCAAACTACTACCACACACTATACAATCTTAAAGATGACCCAAACCTACACCAACCCACACACCAGGAAATCCAAAGCTTCCTCCAACTGTCCTCATTGCCAACACTGACAGAGCAACAGAAAACCTTATTGCAAGACCCAGTAACACAGGAGGAAATACAACAAGCCATACACTCACTCCCCCATGGCAAATCACCAGGACCCGACGGATTCACAAACTCCTACTATAAAACGTTAACCACAATCCTCACCCCACATCTAGAAAAAGCCTTTAACTATATCCTCACAACGGGCCAAATTCCCCAGGACATGCTCATGGCACACGTAGCCACCTTGCCGAAACCAGGCAAACCCCCTACGAAATGCCAAACCTTAGACCAATTTCCCTCCTTAACACTGACATCAAACTGTTAGCAAGAATTTTCTCCAACAGACTAACGAACATTATTCCAACCCTAATACATGAGGACCAGGTGGGTTTCGTCAGTGGCAGACAGGAGGCGGATGGGAACCGAAAGGTTTTAGACCTGTTGCAGGGGGGGCAGGGCCCAGTGCGTCATTTTATCACTTGACGCTGAGAAAGCCTTTGACAGACTGCACTGGCCCTTCCTCCGGGCAGTCCTGATCAAATATGGATTCCCGGACGCCTTCTTAAGACTGGTGGGAGCGCTGTACTCCAAGCCGACATCGAAAGTCACAAACGGGGGATTCAGCTCAAAACAATTAGAAATAACCAACGAGTCGAGACAGGGCTGCCCACTATCACCTCTCCTTTACATTTTATCTCTACCACTCACACAACTCATTAGGGACAATCCGGACATACATGGCATCACAAGACAAGGCAAGGAACATAAACTCACACTATTCACAGATGACATTCTCCTAACACTAGAACAGCCACATATATCCCTACCTAACCTTCATAATACGCTCTCCCAATATAGCAAATGCTCTCACTATAAACTCAATGTTAATAAAACTCAGGCAATGGGTATAAATATCCCAGCCGAGGATATGAGCAGGCTGAGCGCCTCTTTCAAATACGATTGGCGCAATGACCACCTCAAATTCTTAGGAATCAATTTCACCCCAACCTCAGCAAATCTCTACAAAACAAACTACCAAAAAACACTGTCCGAAATAAAAAAATAAAAAAACTTACTGCTAGGATGGAAAGGTAAATTTATATCCTGGTCAGGAAGAATAGCCGCAATCAAAATGATAGTCATACCAAAACTGCAATACCTATTCAGAACATTACCCATAAAAATACCACCCAAATTCCTACAAGACGCGCAACAAACACTGCTTAACTTTATCTGGGACAAACATAAAGCGCGAGTGGCGAAGAGCACACTATACATGCCACCCAAGAAAGGGGGTATGGGAGTACCCAACCTAGACAGCTATTACAGAGCAGCCATATTAGGTCCCTTATTAGCGGCGTACCACCGGGACAACCCAACACAATGGATGGAACTGGAGACACAACACGGTAAGAAAATACCCATTACTATACTGGCATGGCTCCCTCGACACAGCAGGCCAGCAACAAACGAACTGCTCCCAACCACAGCTCTAACTCTGTCCATATGGGACAAATACTGCCGCACATTAGGCTGGTCGGGCAAAATAGCCCGCCACCCCTATAAAAGCATTACACTATATGATACCAAACTTTAATTACACTCTGTGGCACCGACATGGTGCCTACACCAACTACTGGAGGAACATACACTTAGAAGCCTCACAGATCTAACAACCTCTTACCACTTGACCCCAATGGCCTCATTCTCATATATGCAATTACACTCATGGTTCAGCAAGCAAACCTTGAATAGGATGGATAATGTACAAGGGCAACAGCTGACGATGGTAGAAAAAATTTGCTCACACCTATCAACCCCCAAAAAACTTATATCCGAACTATATCGAACGATGCACACTCAAAAAGACCACACAAAATCATTCATTGCAGCATGGGAGAAGGAATTCACATATACGCTCGATGCGCAATGGAATAAAATCCTACTTGCACATAACTCACTCTCCAAATGCGCCTCCCACATGGAACTATCCCGAAAAATCTTATACCAATGGTACTTCGTGCCTACACGTATAAAAGCAACATACCCACAAGCATCCGATATCTGTTGGAGATGCCAACAACACAAAGGCACAATGCTCCATGTATGGTGGAACTGCCCCTCCCTAACAAACTACTGGGACGACATAACTACCATAATACAAGACAGCACAAAAATGCTTCTACCCCGCAAGCCAGAAACGTACCTCCTCCAGCTCTTCCCGAAGGGAATGCAGGGTAGCCAGAAATATTTAACTTACCACATACTAATGGCGGCACTAACAGTCATTAGTAGACACTGGAAATCTGCTATCCCGCCCACAATAACAGAATGTATACAGACGATAGAAACAACTAAGCTTTATGAACAGGCAACCAGACGATCAAGTCACTCCAATAAAATCTGGTCACAAGCCTGGAAAAAACTGACAGTCGTACATGGAGCATAACACTGTGCCTTCAAAATAAGACACTGGGCCCTCAAAATAAGAGGCTGTGGCAAAGACCTACAGACCGACAGCTGTGCCCTTTTAGACAATGAAAAATGTAATCGAAAACAAAAGTGTAAATAATGATGATAACGCGGTAAATAAAAAAAAAAAAATATCAGGAAGTATTACTTTACTGAGAGGGTAGTGGATGCATTGAATAGTCTTCCAGCTGAAGTGGTAGAGGTTAATACAGTAAAGGAGTTTAAGCATGCGTGGGACAGGCATAAAGCTATCCTAACTATAAGATAAGGCCAGGGACTAATGAAAGTATTTAGAAAATTGGGCAGACTAGATGGGCCGAATGGTTCTTATCTGCCGTCACATTCTATGTTTCTAAGGCAGTCTTGGAGGGAGTGGGGACGGTCTCAGATTTTGCCTTTTACCTGGAAGCAGCAATGTAAATTGTCCATGTAGTACTCACCAAAGAGGGTTGCCTTGACAGAACAGGTGAGCTTACACTATAATGGCCATTGGAGAAATACCAAAAACCTGCAGTTATATAAATGTAAATAAGGATTTGTGATAGAACGCAGGTAACTTTTTTTGCTTTTGTGAAAGAAAACCCAAATATGTTAATTTGCTCCTACTGACACAATTATCTGTTGCCAATACACCATCTCACTCACTAGCCGTACATGCAAGTACGTCGGAGGAGCCGGAGCCAGCACAGAAGGACTTCGGCACTGGAATTGGATAAGTGTTTAAAGAGTTATTAAACACTGAGCACTCACACGTCAAAGGGACACTATAGTGTTAGGAATATATGTATTCCTTTCATAGCCAGTTTCCACTACAATGTGCATTCCTGGCATTTAATAGCCTCCATGATAGAGTGGAAGGAGATATCTGCATCATATTAAAGTGTACCCCTAATGATACACACAAGTCAGGTTTAAATTAAAGAGCAGAAATGTAACTATACATTTACAAACACACACGGTAAAAGTCACAATGTGTTATGCCTCAGCAGGGAAGACCTTGTAAGATAGTACACAACCACAGTCTACACATTTCATTTCAACTTTTAACTCTTGAAAAAGTTCAATTGAAATGAAATGCATAGACTTTGTGCCACCTACAAGGGTTGCAGGACCCGATCTGGATTTTTTTAACGTGTGACCTTTTGAATGTTGCAAGAATATGAAGGGCTGACTATCACTTACAGGATATACCCATTGTGAGTACTCTGGAAGGTTTCACATCCATTGTGGGATTATCTAATATGCAATGATTTCAACAAAGCTAATTGGTGCTCACTAACTGTCTAAGTACCTTTAGAGGAATTTACATTTGTTTATAAGCCTTTTAGCACCATAACCTTTTGCAATGATGCACCTTTTTATGGGCCTCATAATGTGTTTAAATGCATCATATCCTTTGCAGTGAAAGTTGTGTTCACATATATATCCCCCTTTAAAGATCAGCAGTTTATTTTGCAGTTTAATGTAGACTGTTGTAGGGACTTTCTCTTCTCTCACATTTCGTATGTAAATTACTTGTCAAATATCCCCATGTTATAATTGTAAAGTACTGCAGAATATAATGGTGCTAAATAAATGATACAAAATAATCAAATAAAATGCAAAGCATTTTACTGCCCTCTATTGGACATAACCAGAATATATATATATAGTGTATTTGTGTATAACATTGCATTGCATTAACTATCCACTTATTTCAGGGGGAAGGAGTTTTCATCCACACTTTTTCCCCACAACTTATTTGAGATATATATATATTTGTCGTCGTATACAATAAGCTGAGTTATAGTAATGGTGGTGTAAGTGGGTTGTGGTGTGCCGGAACCGACGTTCGGGTAGGCCTGTAATAGAGGGCAAAAAGTGTAACAGTTTAACACTAAATACGTGTTGACATTACATAACCAATACTTAAATGCAAGTCTCAATTCTCACTCAGGTTGAGGGATATATGGCATATGCAGACGACTCTACTGTCCCATCCATTAAATGATATGTACTGGGATATTACTAGAGGTAGTAGGAGCAGCGCATATTCTTCTTGAATGACCTGAAAATGTTAACGGTTGTATTTAAGTAACTAAGTGTTGTGAGCTAGTTAAAGGTTGAGGTGGCAAAAAAACATGTGAACTCCGCCATGGAATCGAATGAGTACGGTTTGATGATTTGATATGCAGAAGGGAGTTTATTGAAAATGGTCAGAGCCCAGAGTATGAACAGGTGGCATTGGCAGAGTGTGTTGCGTGTGCCATCAATTAAATCCTGGAATGTAGGGGTTTGGTAGGTGGTTTGGTCGCCTTGGGAAGAGTTCGGAAGAATACAAAAAAATAGTGATCGAGTCACCTCATCGGTTGCTATGTTGTGACAGCCTGGTATGGGTATGTGAACAAAGTAGCGTTTCTGTGATGCTGGATGCTGCCAGACAGATCTCTTCCTAATCAACCTTATTATTATTCCCATGCTGCTGATTTACTAAAAGAGGGTAGGGTCTGTGTCACTATGGGAAATGTGTCATCGATCCAGTTTACTATGAAATTGACTGTAATCCAGTGTGGGCGGCTGTATTAGTCCAGAAATGAGGGACAATTGTGGAGTGAACATGGTTTCCCTGTTCTGTTGGGATAGAAAGGATAGTGACATGACCAGGACTGCTCAAGCATTTTTTGAATGTAACTGCTCTATTGTTGACAGGTGAGCCTGGAAGCAGGTTGAGCGGATAGTAAATTAATGAGCTCCCTTGTGTGAGGTACATAGTAAAGTTCAGAGGACCAAGGAGAGACAGCAGATCCATATGTGAAACAGGCATCGTTGCCCAGAATGGATTTTCCCTTTCCCTGATATTCTGTACTTATTCTGCATGGAGACTGAACTGCAATGAAATCAAGTCTAATGTATTTACAGAAATTAAAATTGATGTAAGGGCCAAAGGTTGATCGAAACAGCGGAGTTCCAAAGGATATACCAGATACAAAAGACACATCTGCTTTAGGGTATGGCATTCGGTTCCATAATCGTTACACTCATGTAGATAATGTATTACTGAGGGACAGTACTGACGTACAAGAGGAGCCTACAAAGAGATTATGCAACTATATTGAATAGTTTGGGCATCTCTCTGTTCCAAACGGTAGATGGGTGGCAAAGTAGAATGCTCAGTTCAGTAAATATTGTGCAAATGCCACTGGGACCGATGCACTGGGAGCAACTTGAAAATGAGGAAAATTGCATTTTCCTAGTCAGGCTGCTTCTGTGGCCCTTAAAATATACCATAAATACCATGGCCTAATGCTGGGAACTTTAAAGAACAAGTAGCCGATAATAAAATTGAGCAGATATGAGATTCTCATTGATTAGGCTAATATGGTAGGTGCACCTGCAAATAAAGGGGTTGTCAGAAGGGCCCCAGCAAGAAACCAATACTTTATTCTGCCACTAATAGTAATTACGTTGAATGAGTCTTAACTAGTAGATTGGAGGTTAGGACAAACCCTAATACCTGATCGAAGTATAATGACACCTATGCAGAAATCTACTGAGAAACCGGGCATTAGAAAATCGAATTGAAGAGGGCAAGTGTGAGTATTGAGGGAGACGACAAAAGGAGAGTATGAATACGGGACAGTCAGATTGTACAGTCTGTGTTCCCTAGCTTTGAACTACTGACAAGTCTCGTAGCTATGTCCTTCCCAGGGGAACTTACTGTACAGATAATAGGGACCAGGAAACATGCTGGATAGCAATTGGCAGTGTAACGCTGAGGGGATTGAAGTAAGGAGCATGACGTAGGTTATTACATGCCCAAAGTCAGCAGATTCTAAACATCACTAGTGTCAATAGTTGTTTATAAGGATGAAAGGATGGGAGCCATCATGGCCTACATCCCTGTCATGCTGTCTGTGTTTCCAGTGTGGGTGCCAACACAAGGCAGGGGAGCCTAGAGCAAGAAACCGGAGTCTATAAAGCACAGTTATCCGAGCCAAAGAAGGACACCCCTTTCTGTCGGAGCTCAGCGGTGAAAGTGGAATGGTACAAGAATGACAGGAACAAGAGTTGGGGTATCCTGGGTTACAGCTGGAGTGCATGGACTAGGTGGGTTGAAGGGTTTGGCAGGGAAGCCTGGATTGAAATATATTACTAGTTCTGAGGTGTGCAACATCTACATGTAGAGTAAATGTGACAGTCATTTAGATGATAGTATAACAACTGTAGGCTTGCATAGTGCCGAATGGCGAAAAATTTGCTATATGAGGGAAAGATGAGGCCCTACTAAGTGCCAAGTGGCTCTGAGAAGCTCTAGCTATGAACTGGCCGAGGGACTGAGGCCACCAAAGATGTGGCGGGAATGTTGGCCTCTCTGTGACAAGTAAGAGATTCAAATGAGTAACAATGACATGTGAGGCCCTATCTAAAACCTAGAGAGATCTAGCTATGAGTTGGGCCGATGGACAAATACCTCCGCATCAGGATGGGTGTGGGCCTTGCATGACTGAATTACAAATATACAATAATATGGCACACACCAACACTCTTAACAGCCAGCTGATCTATCCCCAAGTAATAGAAACGTAATTAATTGATATAAAGCATGTTGGAATGTACGTATATTGCCCAACTAGTGTGTGGTTGAACTTGAGAAAGGAATATCATAGAGAGGAACCTAAAGACACAATGGGAACGTAATTGGAAATATGTCCAGTATGGTGTAAGTCCTTTTTGAGGTAAGGGTATAAAGTGCTTGTGTTGTGGTTAAGAATTAGACCGTTAACAGGATAAGTAGGGACTGTAGAAACATAGATAATAAAAGAACTTACAATTGTCAATATGGATATAAAAGAGATATCCAGTAGTGCTGTGTCTAATTAGGAGTTCCCACTGTGCGTCCTTTGCAGGAAGCAAAATATTTAAGATCTAGTAAGTGACTGTGACAGGAGTTGTGTATTATACAAAGCTTAGGTTAAAACTGTGACAGACAGAGGAGGCCTGAATATGATTAAATGTGTAATGAAGGCTTCTTGGCTCTCAGGAGTGCAAAGAGAGGATCAAGGAATTAATTGCATGGGCATAACAAGGCTGAGAGGAATAGTGAATCGTAGTATGACAGGTTTGCAGTTGACCCTTGTAAATCTGGAAATGTATGTAATTTCTCAAATGTGCGGCAGAAATTGTGTCGTAGTGGATTGCTCACAGAGGCCCTTATGTAATGTATGGAGTGAAGGCTTAGTGAGGGCCGCGTAGAGGTATTGCAGCGGAAGGCCAATATCACCAAATGCAAGTCTCAAGCTGCAGGGTGTATAATAGGGTGTATGTAAAGTAATGATTATGGCCGAAACAAATGTAGGTTACTTGTACCAAAGTTGTAGAAATGGACTGTGAATTACGTATGGACAGTAGTGATGCTCTGGTATTCGATCTGGTTTTGTTTATTTTTACACTGAGTGGTGTACTTAAACGCAGTATAATAAGGCAATATAAAATCCCCGAGCGTCAGGAAGGCCGAAATTAGGTTGTAGCTGTAAGCCTACCTGGGACCGTACGAAGCTTATGTAAGTGAAGGCCTAGTGACATCCGTGTGTCAAGGTATAGGAGTAAAAGGCAAAGAGAGCTCATTGCGATTCATGAGCAGCAGGGTAGCCATTTAAGGGCAGTATGAGAATTAACGGGTGTATGAAGTTATATGATGTGGGTTGGTTAATGGTTGTTGAGCTGTGGAGCAGTTGCAATAGACACAGTGATGCAAAATGGCAGACCTGCTCCTGCAACCAACTTGAACCGTGAGAGGAAAGAATGGTAGGACTGTTAGAGATGATAATGATGAGATACTTGAGTAAAATGGCACTGATCGTAGTAGGTTGCTCACTACCATATGAAGTACATGTTGTGGAAGGCCAAGTAAGGGCCTAAAATAAACATATATGTGTTTGTTTGTTTTTTTTAAATTAGCTTTTTTCCATGTAAGGTTGTGCCTTTTTTTTTAAAATTATTATGAATTCTCTACGTGTATGTAGTTACCACTCTATTGATAAGTATACATATAGTTTCCACACCCTTCACTTTCCTATGATAGTGAAGGTCAAATTAGGGCCCAACATAACTATACCAAGATGCAGGGTGGCCAAATTAGGGTCTAATGAGAAGTTACAGGTGCATAATGATACAATTAAATGGGGTTTAATGAATGTTGAAAATATTTGAAAAGAACGGTTGCAATTTATTATGTTATTGGTGAGACCCTAGTGGCAGACCTAATTTGTGGCATGTCTTGATTTGAAGTGTAAAAAGAACATTAAGATGAGGGCCGTGAATATGTCCGTATAACTATAGCACAGACATAATTATTATTATTATTATAATATTATTTATATAGCGCCAGCAAATTCTGTAGCGCTGTACAATGGGGGGACTAACAGACACGTAAATGGAACCAGACAAATGGACACACAGGAACAGAGGGGTTGAGGGCCCTGCTCAATGAGCTTACATGCTAGAGGGAGTGGGGTAAAATGACACAAAAGGTAAGGATAGTATAAGACTAATGACAGTAGCAGAAGAGGAATCAGTCAGGAGCTATTAACAGTTTAATTGATACGCTTTTGTGAAGAAGTGGGTTTTTAACGATTTTTTGAAGGAGTGGAGACTGGGTGAGCATCTAACGGAGGAGGGAAGCGAGTTCCACAGGAACGGTGCAACCCTCGAGAAATCTTGAAGGCGAGCATCAGAGGTGGGAGTACGGACAGAAGATAGACGTAAGTCTTCAGCAGATCGTAAGGGCCTAGACGGGACATACTTGTGTATAAGGGAGGATAGATAGGTGGGAGCAGCATTATGTAGAGATTTGAAAGCAAGAACCAGGGTATAGTGACACAAAGGATATAAGTAGGAGTTATGAAATAGGTTGCTAGAAAAGTAAATCACTGAACTTAGTAGGTTATTTTTGACAGTTGCAGGAAAGGCGTCATGGGGGGACATGAGGGGCTTGAAAACCCGCTAACAGTGTAGATGATATGATTTACTGAAGAAGTGTGTTTTCTAATTATGACCAACATTATGTTAAAGTACACTTGACCAGGCCTGTGAGGAGTCCAGAAGGGGCTTAAACAAGGTAAGTAGTGATGGATAGTGAAATAAGATTATTAACAGGCAGCACCATAAATGCTAACCACATGTATAGGCCCAAGTTTGGGCCTGACAGTCAGTAGCAACACCTAGCCATATAATTATTAAACAATGTTGGCCCAATGAGCCTGAATTCCCAGATGGCAGATAGAATACATTTAGGTACTAAAGCTGGACAAGGCCTGGTGAACATAAGTAACAAATGCTGATCTGCTCAAAGCTGACCAGTATAACCAAGGCTGTATGGGTCGACAATAAATCTTCAAATATATGGCATAGCATTAAACATTAAAATGCAGGGTGACTAAATGAATTGCATATGATATACGATATGGCCAAATGAGGGCCAAATACAGTAAGCAGAATGCATGAACCTAATTGAGGTATCACTATGATGCTATGTATGATTAGAATGGGCCAAATACGCGTTAGTAGTGAAAATCGCCAAATCAGAATGAGGGCAGAATACGAACTGAACTGTGAATGCCTCCCTAGTTAGTGAAAGGCTGAACATGGGGCAAATACATGTTTAATGTCAGGGACATCGTGGCCCAACGCGGGCTGAATGAACAAACTTAAGGTTTTGTTGTAATAAACACGCAAACAGTAACAGGAAAAGCCACTGTTGGACTGGACGCGGCAGTGCCCCAGGAGCTTCAAAGGAGGCCGCTGTTTTTTTTTATTTTTTTTATTTATTTTTTTAACTAGAGTGAGGTAAAATGAATACTTGCATGGGCCGCACAAGATCAAGACCAGCTTGTTTAGAGTTTAGGCAGTTTGTGTTGATGACCTTTGAACCGGAAGTAGATGGTTCTGTACTGAACCAGGCAGTCTCAGCCCAGAGGAAGGAGTCTGTATTTATAGGCCGGGTAACTCCTCCCACAATTACAGGCTTCGCCCAACGGCTCAGAGAAAGAGAGAGAGAGTGAGTGTGTTTTGTTTTTTGTTTCTTTAAATGTTACAAATTCAAATTGTATTGTTGTGCATCACCTACTACAACTAACAAGAAGTCTGTTGTTGGCATAGCATTTTTGAGAAACCTTGTCTCCCAAAATGTGCCGAATATTCAAATGAAAAGAAACAAGCATTATGTTTCAGACTTCATCCCGCATTCATGTTAGCACACATATCAATAGCACACAGTCCAGGGGAGCGCGGTACTCACTGCACAGCGCAGAATGCCAGGGTAGCGCGGTGCTCATGGCACAGCGCAGAATGCCAGGGGAGCGCGGTGCTCACGGCACCGCGCAGAATGCCAGGGGAGCGCGGTGTTCACGGCATCGCGCAGAATGCCAGGGGAGCGCGGTGCTCACGGCACA